TAGAAATAGAGAATCCCATTAGCTCATCCATTCTATCTCCCTGCCAATGCACAATCGTCCCTACTCTGTATTGTGGGACTAGAGTGAACAGTATGTCTGCAGGGGTGTCTCCATCGGTTACCACTAAAAGACACAAGGTGTCAGCCAAAAGACACAAGGTGCAGACAGTTAGAAATCAAGGCTTGAAATTCAAGGGAAAGGTGTAATAAGGTGTTTGGCTATAAATGGCAAGCCAAGCAGAGACAGAAGGCTTCTTACTGTCTTCAGTATAGGGGCTGGACATTTATATGGATCTCAAGAATATCCAGAGTGATCATAATTTAATAAGAAAAAAATTAAACCTCATGTTTACAGTTTAAGCCAATCTCTTACTATTGGGGTATGTCTATGCTGCATTGTAAACCCAGGCTCTGACTCAGATTTAAGCTCAACCCTGCCCTACTGTCCATGCACAAAGCTTTCTGAGTCAGGTCAATAAGCCCTCAAGACCTGGGCCTGTGGACACACCCAGGAGGGTGGGTCTAAGCCTAAGTCCTGCTGTGACTGGGGTCCAAGCCCTGTCACTTTGTGGTGTGGATGCAGCTCAAGCCACAGATGTGAATCAGGAAGTCTGCATTGTGCAGTATGGACACTTTAGCACGGTTGTGCGCCCCGGGTCCAGGAATTGTAAACCCAAGTTTACAGTGCAGTGTGAATGCATGGAAACATGATTCCACAAGCATGTTTCCCACAAATCTGGGTTTACAATGCAGTGTAGCATATACTTGGAGAGCAGGATTAAACCTAATGTGGGGAGCAGATAATCCCACACGTGCCAATTGTGGGGTTCTTGCATCGTCCTCTGAAGCAGCTGATACTAGTAACTGTGAGAGAAAGGATGCTTGGCTAGATAGACCTTGGGTTTGATCTAATATAGCGGTTCTTGTGTTCCTAGTAGGTTAATCTTCTATAGATTCCCCTTTGCTACCTGTCATTTTAGTACTTGAAGGAGTTCCCATTAGGATTGTTACTCTGTGAGATTTTTTTTATCCACCCTTATATTCAGCATGTTGCAGCTGTAACAGTTTCTTGGAAAAAACTTCTAGAGAGAAATTTCTGAGGGTTGACACAAAATTCCACACACAAAACTCGTTCCATTTTCACCACATAACTTTTCCAAAGCAAACAGCTTTCTTTCCTGTGAACTGCGAGTTATTAGGTTTTGGAGCTGTGTGAATCCTAGTACAGCCACTGGAGTACTGCTTCCTCTCTCGTTTCCTTCCTCCCTGCTTCCTAGGGCTTTATTTTCTGTCAGAGGGTCATCCTTTTGAATGACTGTCAAATGCTCATGCAGGTGGCAGAAATAAAAAAGAAACAGGGCTGGGATCCGTCATGAGTGCTGGTGAGGTGCATGTTGATCAGAGATGTTTGTGTTGTCAAGGCAGAAGTTGGGATTGGGGGCCTATAGAGTATGACAACATTTGAAACTCACAGTTTTCTGTAATAAAAATGACTTCTCAGATCACAATAATAATAGGAAACCATAGCATAGTGCACATGCTTTGTTGCTAGGATGGTATTCAGGGTGAAAACAACCAACACTGGTGATCACCAACAGATTGAAGACTATTGTTAAAAAAAATTAATAAAAGTAATAAATCTGCCAGTGATCACTAGTGGTCCGTGGAGCCCTTGCTGGTGCACTGCAGGAGGAAAGATTGTGAAAGATCTTTTTATCCATCTTGTGGCTTGTGTCTGAACCACATTCTTCTTGAATTGTGGGCCCCAGAACTGGATAGAGTGTTGCAGCAGTATTCCAGCACCAGGGCCAAATGCAGAGGTAAAATAATCTCTCTACTCCTTGAGATTCCCCTGTTTATGCATCCAAGGATTGTATTGGCCATTTTGGCCACAGCGCCGCACTGAGAGCTCATGTTCAGCTGATTATCCACCACAATTCCCAAATCTTTTTCAGATCATTGCTTCCCAGGGTAGCATCCCCATTGTGTAGGTATGGCCTACATTCTTTGTTCCTAGATGTATACATTTATATTTAGCTGTGTTAAAACACACATTGTTTGCTTGAGCCCAGCTTAGCAAGTGATCCAGATCACACGAGGACAAGTCACTGATACCTTCATTATTTACCACTCCCCAAATTTTTGTGTCCTCTGCAAACTTTATCAGTGATGATTTTGTTTTCTTCCAGGTCATTAATAGAAAGTTTAAATCGCATAAGGGCCAAGAACAGATCCCTGCAGGATCCCACTAGAAACACACCCATTCAATGATGATTCCCCATTTAGAATTACATTTTGAGACCTATCAGTTAGCTATCTTTTAAACCATTTAATGTGCACCATGCTAATTTTAAATCTTTCTAATTTTGTAATCAAAATGTCATGCTGAACCAAGACAAATGTCATATTAGAAATGAAGGGGGCAGAATTCCACAGTGTGAATGAAACTCCACAGTCCTCATTTGACTATGTTTTGTGTAGAAAGTTCTTATAAATACATGTTTCATATCCACTGTTCTCTTCTTATGTGTCTGCCCTTCTTTATGGACTTGCTAGTTTACGCTGAAACCTTCTGGGAGGTTCTCCCTCTGGAACATAGAATTGGCTACAAACTATTGCCTGTAGTTTCCCAGTGGAAAAGATCCCGTCTCCCATCAGAAAACAAACAAAACACTCCTGATGTCTTAGATCTAGCAGTGTATTTTGTCCAATCAGCTGAACTTTTGGTCCCACTCACACGATGAATGTGTACATTGGTATAAAAAAAAATAGAAATAACACGTTGGTCATGATGTTTAATGTTGTGTACTCTGGGCTTAATCCAGGAGACTTGGCAGGTGAGATTTTTGTGGTCAACTTGAGTTTCTTGATAGTGGAAGGAACACATTAGGTGCCAGGGGTACAAAGAAGGAAAGGACCTCCTCAGATACCACACTCCTAATGCCTCATCCCAGGATCGAGATTAACATGAATAGTCAGACTGACTTCCTTCACTCCCAGCCATCCCTCATAATCCTTGAGAAAGAGTGAGAGCTACAGGTAGAAAGTTGATCTTTGGGTGGGGTAGTGGAAGTTTACATCTCTCTCCTTTTTTATCTAAATGTGTTCATGCGAGAATATATCAACTGTATGGCCTGGAGAGAATTATTTTAAACATAAAACTTCATGAAGTGAATAAGATTTTAAATGGGTCTCCTGTAACTCATTGCAAGACTGAGAGAAAACATCCAGGTAACAATGAAGGTTCATCTAGTGGAGAGCAATATATCTGACAGTTGACCTTGCTCCCCTTTCTATCTTCCTATGAGACTCATTGCATCACCTCTGCAAACAGGAGCCATCTGATTCAAACAGCCGATGGTCTTTCTTTGTAACAGTGTCACTAGCTGCCAGATTCCCTCTTTTCACACCTTTGAGTATAGACAGTTGAGTCCAGGAGTTCATTTGTTTTTTCTTTCACTGTTTTCATTAGCATTTTGTTAATCATTCTGACTCTGGCTTTCCTCCCTTTTCCCCTCCCAGCACTGGGGATTTCAAGGTTCAGCTTGCATAACAGGTAATAGCAGGCATTTCCTTCTCCTGTGTCGGGATATCCTGGCGCCCTTCAGTCTCTCTCTGACTGTATTTAAAACAGACTCCAACACAGGAAAAAAAAAAAGACCCAGTCTAAAATTAGCAGCCTTGATAGAAGAAAGGCACATGGCTGTCCACTGGACTGTTTGTCAATGAAACAACAAATCTAAACAGAGCCAGAATGCATTTCCTGTCTGTGGAAAACAGGCATGCTGAGTTTCAGAGAGGAGGGGAGAGAGGGAGAGAAAGGCAGACCCCACACCAAAGGGAAGAAAGAACTGGACAAAAGGCATCCAAAGGTAAAAGCAGTGTGCTGTGCTGCTGAGCTCACAAGAAGAGGCTGTGTGCAGATCTTGCTCTGCTAAGGCTGCAGTTTTGGATCCTGGCAGTGTTGCACCAGTGCATGGGGTCCCACTGGACTCAGAAACTGAGTGTATTACAGCTTAAACTAATATGTCTCTTTGTGTATCATACAGTCCCTTCTCCTTATTGGGCCTTTGAATCCCAGTAGTCTTGAACGGGTGTCTCAGCTATCCTTCACCAGTGGCACTGCAAAGGCATTGCTGTGAGATTTAAACTGAAGTAAAGAATCGGGCTCTGACCTTAACATGCATTAATATTACATCACCATGTTTTTTTCCATTTAATTATACATTTTGGACCCAATCCTGCAAGCCCTTTGTGTATGGAACTCCTATTCAATGACTGTTCTTTGCATGGATATCTTGACTGACTTGTGTAGTAAAGGAAGGGATTAATGTAAAATGTTTATGATTTGATGCCAGTGGTTTCACTGTGGAGTAGAGATGAAACCATTTCCTCCTTTCCCCACTGGATTCTGTATATAGTTATTATCCATGAGAATTACTGTGGGAATTTCATTTATAACTCAGTGTTTCCATAGTGTTTCATTCTGCAGTTTGTAGTTTTATTTACTAGTCATTCCCACTCATTGCAATCTAGCAGATCTCCCTGGACTAAAATTCAGTCAAGTAAAGGCATATAATCACACTGCAGTATGACTGCAGAAATTCATTCTGTCCTATCTTTACTGTTCTCTATAGTCCCTCTGGTATTTTTAGTCCTATTAAATCTTGAGGTTTGGCTTCCACTGTGTTTCCTTGTGTTTTGCCTTCTTTACTAATGAGAGCTACACAGTGGCTTGTTTTCTTGGTTGACTGAGGACTTATTCAGATCTATTCCAGAAATAATCTCCTGTTTGTGTTCTGCAGAAGCTCGTAAATCAGTGGGCTAATATTAAGAGAGCGCTATTGAGGGATAGAAAACATCTGACGAGATCTACTTTGGAATTCAAACCCTATTGCTGTTCTGTTTATTCTAAAAAATTTGTAAAGCAGAATACTCTGCCTGTCCTGATCTAGATAGGATTTACCAGGTCGTTCTCCGTGTGCAAAAAGAGGTACTTACTGGCAAGTTGGAACACAGCAGCTATGGCTTCCTCCCACCATTGGACATCCTGTGAAATAACAGGCAGTTCCACTAGGCCCAAGACGAAAATGAGCTGACCAGCAGTCAAGGCGACGGTAGCGATTAGGTTACAGGCCCGCATCATGTCAAACTGCACTGTGGGGGACACACAAAGACCGAGTAAGAGCATCATCTTAAAATAAAATCTTGGGGGTTGAAAAGCAATACCCCACCGAGAAGCCGTGGCAGAGTTGCCAGATCCTGAAAGAATGGTTCAGAAACTGCATATCTGCTAATTTTATCCCAATTTATAACAAACTCTTACTCTGATCTACATTCATGATTAAGCTATCTAAGAACAGGTTGCCTTTCAGTTACACAGAAATCTGTCATAATCTGTTCAGTGCAGACAGCCCTTGTATAAAGCAGATAGCCTTGTTTTCAGGGATAGCCTTCCAAAAAAGAATAAACATTTGTCCTTCTGGTTGCTTTATCCATAATTATAAGCACAAACTCTTTGGGGCAGGGACCATCTTTTTGTTCTGTGTTTGTACAGCACCTAGCACAATGTCTGTAATACAAATAATAATAACTCCCAAGGCAAACCTACTGCTTTGAACTCATTGTCTTTCTCCCAGTATAATAATGTTGCATTTGAGACCAACTGATGAGCTAAAGCCTGCATCTCCCTTGTTTAAGTGGGAGCTACAGGTAGGGGATTATGGGAGAGATTCTCAACTACTAAAATTTACTCCCTGTCCTAGTCTGTCAGACCCCAGATTTGTTACTTTACCAGGCACATTGCAAAACTCCTCTTTTTCTGGATGTTTGAGTAGGGAATCAGTTGAGGGTAAAAGGGCAGTTATTTGTGGGGTTGTTGCAGTTTTCTTGTAATACACTGTACACATGTTGTGTCCAGTCATTGATATGTGTATACAGTTATATCTATAGTTGTACTGTCCAGTATTGTAATATTTACATATTACAACACACAGCACAAATATAGAATTAATAATGGAAATAAATATTTGGAGGCCAGGATAGGTACTTAATAGAAATGAACACATTTCCTAGCTGGTTACTGAATAGACTGTATTCATTGCAAAGTTTACTACTTTTAGTCAGGTTGATGATGTTTTTCTTCTTCTTTTTCTGTTAACATGATGGATGTCCTGTTTTCATCTTTTTCCTTCCTTTCTAGCTAACGGTGGGCTTTATAAATGTCATTGTGCCAACACAACATCCCTTGCCTAATATGCCACTGCTACTCTGAAGTAGGAAGGGCTTGCCATGTAAATGGCCACACTTTGGAAAGGAAAATGTTTACACTGGCAATGAATGCAAATCTTCACCAGAATTGTCAAAGGTGACATAGTTGATTATGGATGGACAGTGTGAGTGCATGAGATACTAGGATCTGAGATTTCCTATGTGATGAAAATGTCACGGAAGGGTTAATTCTCAGCTATTGTTACACCCTGTTACATTTTCCCAGGCTTTTTTGGTAACAAGATTCCATGATTTTGCAGTGGCTTGTTCCCAGGTCTCACCAATTATTTATTGGGTTCTGACAAGTAAATGTGATGTTTGGTGCCAATACTCTATATTACTATGGAATGAAACTAGGAAATTTGTTGAGAACTAACAATACTTAGTGGAATCCATTCAAACATGAACTTCTGTGAAAGGCATAAGTTGTGTTTAAAAAAACCGGTGCATACCAAAATATATTAAGAAATATAGTGAAACCCTTAAATGAATGCCCAAGAAGGGAATAAACCTGTCAAAAGACATAAAGGTAACCTGCACAGTGAAAAAGTGAGTTTGTGCCTCTTTGTTTATTAATACCATATAAAGAAGACACAAAAGAGTTTAACCCACAAATGGGGTAGTTTTTTGGGTTGTGTAAGGTTTTTTTCCTATTAGTTTGTTTTTATTAAAAAGGGAGATCTTGTCCACAGGTGCTAGCTTCCTCTTGCCCTGGGGGTGCTCAACCCTCACTCTGCCCCAGGTCCCACCCATACTCCACCCCTTCCCCCAAACCCTTACCTCACTCTGCCTCTTCCCGCCCCCCTTCACCTTCACCATGCCTCTTCCCCACTGTGACATTGCACTCCATATGTTTTATGGAAATATGCTTGTAAGTGTGAATATGATGTAACTGGAATATGCTTTATGCAAAAGGTCTCTTGTAAGGTATCATTACAAAGCTTATAATCTACTGACTGTGTTCATCCTATTTGTATGCATATATCATTCTTGTATCTGAAGCTAGAAATATGAAATATAACTCTGAGGTCCTATTGTAATTATGCAAAGTGTGGGCCATTAATGGTGGTTTGGAAGCTTGATGGCTCCCATTGACTAGAACAATTGGTTGTAAATGGTCTGTTTTCTTGCAAACCTTTCTGGGTGTATGCGGGCCAGCCCAGGAAGAATGAAGGCTGGGGTCTCACAGGACATGGGACAATGTCACCTGGTAATGAAATCCATCTTAAATCTGGTACTTTTCCATTTAGAAGGCGGGGTGGGGTCCCAGAAAGACAAAAGATTCCCGCTTTGTGCCAAAGCTATAAAAGGGGGTGGAACAGAACAGAGGGGCTGCCAGTCATGAGAAATCCCCTAGTTACCACCTGAGCTGGAACTAACAAGAACTGTACCGGGGAAAGGATTGGGTCCAGGCTAGGTAGGAGTCTAGTCTGTGAAAGAAGCTTGTTGGAACATCTCTGAGGGTGAGATTTTGCCTGTAAACAATTTCTTAATGTATTAGGCTTAGACTTGCATGTTTTGTTTTATTTTGCTTGGTAACTTACTTTGTTCTGCCTGTTATTACTTGAAACTACTTAAATCCTACTTTTTATACTTAATAAAATCACTTTTGTTTATTATTTAACCCAGAGTAAGTGATTAATACCTGGGAGAGCAAACAGCTGTGCATATCTCTTTATCAGTCTTATAGAGGGTGGACAGTTTATGAGTTTACCCTGTATAAGCTTTACACTGAGTAAAACTAATTTATTTGGAGTTTGGATCCTATTGGGAACTGGGTGTCTGGGGTGCTGGAGATAGACCAGCTGAGCAGTTTTTGGTTAAAGTCTGCAGCTGTGGAGGCGTGGACCAGACCTGGGTGTGTGTTGCAGTAAGCTAGCATGTCTGGCTCAACAAGGCAGGGTTCTGGAGTCCCAAGCTGGCAGGGAAACGGGCTCAGAGGTAATTCCAGCACGTCAGGTGACAGTCCCAAGGGGGTCTGTGTGACCAAACCTGTCATACCCACCTCTTCCCGCCCAGTTCTGCCCTCTACCCTTAGCACACCTTAGCAAGGGAGGTATGTGGATCCCACCCAGGGCCGGCTCCAGGCACCAGCGAAGAAAGCAGGTGCCTGGGGCGGCCAAGGGAAAGGGGCAGCAGTGCGTCCATTCTCAGTGACTCCTGCACGCCACAGAACAGCTGATCGCTGTGGGCAGGAGGCACTGGGAGGGAGTGGGAGGAGTTGATCGGCGGGGTGCTGGCGGGTAGGAGACGCTGCGGGGGGAGATGGAGGAGCTGGCTGCTGGTGGGTGCAAAGCGCCCACTCATTTTTTTCCAGCCCTGGAGCACCCATGGAGTCGGCACCTATGATCTCGTCTATCTTGTTTTTCCTGGAAGAATCCATGGATTGGAGAACTAATAGCACAAGTACTAAGGAAGTGAAAGCCAAGCGATTGAGAAGGAAAGGGGATTTTAGTCAGAATATTTAAAATTTTGTTTTTGTTTGATTATTTATCAACATCTATTTAATCCAAATGCCTTACATCTTTGCTAGAGATTCAGCACCCTGCAACTTCAGTCATAGTCTGAGAAAGCTCCCAGCCAGTTCCCTGATCCTCCAAGAAGACTTCCAGCAAAATAAGGAAGAGAAGACTTAATATTTTTGGTATTTGTAAGACAAATAAAAAATAAACTTTTTTAAAAAAAATATAAAAAGCCATTTAGGTCTTCTTTTGAGTTATAAAAATGCATGAACCCAATTTTTCCCATGTAGGTCACCTTTAACTCCCTGTACAGTAAGTAATATACAATTGATTGCTGACATGTTAGCGTTAGATATTAAGAGCCATATACTGCCAGCCTTACTCACGCTGGATAACCTTACATCTTGGAGTACCATTGAAATGAGCCAGTTCAGTAAGAGGTTAGCAGGATATAGCCCTAAACACATATAGTTTTGGTTTTCCTGATTAATCCATTTCTGAAAGCAGAGGAACTTACTTCTGAAAGTAAGGACCAGTCATAGAGTAAATTTTATGGTAAGACTCAGTGCTAATTTTGAAAGTGCAATTCCTTAGTAGTGGGAGCACTAAGCAGTCTCCCCACAGTGAACATGAAGTGTCATGAAGTGCTTTGGGACACGAACCATCATCAGGCACCTGCTAGGCTTTACAAACATCAGTAAAACTTGATGAATGTTGAAAGTGTCATACCTATATCGTAAGTGTAGACTATGGCTTTCTGAGAAATAGCCTTTTATAATATTATAAAGGCCTTTAGCTTGTCTGATGAGTTTGTAATAACTGTATCTAGAAACAGCCAATTCACAACCATTATTATTAAAGTCCTTTGTCTAACTGTACCACTGAATCCAGAGGGTACTTAGTTCACATGTAATAAATTCTGCTGGCTTGTCCTAATGTGTACTAACCACGGTCTGAGAAATACCAGATTGCTAGATTTTGTAAACTCCTATTGCACATCCCTGGTATTTGTAATGCCATGAGTAAGGCTATGATTTAGTCATGGATATATTTTATAAAAGTCATGGACAGGTCACAGGCAGAAAACAAAAATTCATGGCCCATGATCTGTCCATGACTTATACTATAAATACCCCTGATTAAATCTTGGGGGGTGGAGGGGGAGAGGTGCTGCTGTGGGGGGGCCAGGGGCAGCTGAGCAGCAGCGGCTTTGGCCATCCTGGGACCGCTGCCGGGGGCTGCCCACCCACCGCTCTTCTGGATGCTCCCGGGACCACTGCTCAGGCAGTCCCTGGGGCCAGCTGCACCTGCTGCTCCAGCAGTCCCAGGGCCAGCTGCACAGGGCTGTCTGAGCAGTGGCTGGTGCGGCTGGCCCCAGGGCCGCTCCAGAAGCGGCTGGTGTGACTGGCTGCAGGGCTGCCTGAG